GCTCTTGGTTCCCCAGAGCTTCGGAAAGTCCCGGGTCATCTTTCCCAAAAGTCGTTCGGCCTTGGAGGGGAAATTGAGTATCACTCGGTTTGTTGATCTTGATTACCCGCAAGATTGATGCAGTACCATTGGATTCATTTTCAATAAGATCCTTTGTAGGTACAACCATGAATTCTTTTCTCCACATGAATTCGGGGTGAATGGCATAGCCAAGGAATAAACCAGGGCTCGATGTTGGGTCGAAGCGAAGTCCCTCTTTGTTCTTCTTTCTCGGACCATTCCAATAGTCAATAAGACAACCAAAAGGAATGAGAGGACCATCAAATCTCGATCCAAAACGTAGTTCCCATGGTGACTTGTCTCCCCCCGTTGCAATGACATTCTGCATGAAGCACCAATGTCGGGCAGCATGAGGCCAGTGCCAATGATTCAGGCCTGCTTGGAGCAGATTGACACGAGTGCCTTCAAGAACTGACCGAACTGCTCTCTCGGCTTGGGCGTTGGACTTAGATATATAGTCCCTACTTAAGATGTGACGGCACTGAAGGATTTTCATTGCTGAAATTAATTCAGGTGCATTGTCACTGTAGAAGACTCCTATCTTATCTTCATGTCCAACAAAATGTTTGATCGCTAAGATCGCAGCATTGGTGGTTCGTCTGGCATTGGGGTAGACATACATAAATCCTGTGGCTATGTCCTTCACGACGAGTGCACTTTTCTCATCATCGATTCCCAACTCGTCTTCATCTCTGGTGACAATAAAATCAGCGGTGATGTGGTCACCAAATTTCTCAGCTTTAACTTTGGTTGATCCGCCTACGGCCCTTGAGGGTGGCTTGAACATCTTAGCCCTAGTGCATATGTCACAAAAAGGGTTCTTAGGGATGTGAGTCAGCATATGTCGAACGGACTTGGCTTCTTCTTTTAACTCTTTTTCCCCTAGTGACCTTTTGTGAGCACCATCATCATGGACATTACTACTGCTACCCTTAGATCCTTCCAAAGGCGGCTCAACCTCCCGGTCGGCATCAGGGACATCAACCTCCTCAGCTTCCAATGGCTGGGGCTCCGGTAAATCGACATTGATACCCATGGGGTCATCACCAATGATTTCAATGTCCCCATCGGGCTCCGGAGATTGTTGAGCTTCATCTGATGCCGGGGTGGCAATGCTTGGTCTAGGCTGAGTTGATGGAGTGGAAATCGTCTTTGAATTATTTGCAAAGTAGGGTACATAATCTCTGACAACTAACTCAATGCGTTCCCCATTTGGTTTGACCATGTACGGAGGTTCACCTTTGGAGCCTCTCCATATGAAGTCGTAACCATCATCAATGCATCTCATCCCGACTGAAATAACAGGAGGTGAGCTTCGAACAAGATAGGGGTCAATGGTCTTGCCTAACTTAGGAACAAATACTTTTCCTTGTTTCGATGACGAACTTTCTCCATTGGCAGTGATCATGCGAATGGGGTTGTTGGAGTAGTATCCATAGTCGTCCGGCAATTCACTATCATTGACAAGATCTTGGGCACTCCCCGTATCTGCAATCCAGTCAAGTTCGAGGTTGATCGCTCCCTTCACATCTTCTCTACATTCCGCAGGGGTGGCTTTGATTCCCTTTGGGATACATTCATTGCAACCAAAGTCTGTGTCACATAAATAGGCACATTTGCATTCTATTCCCCGAAGACAATTGGAAACTGATCCTGCCAACATGGTACCGGTCAAAGCGGCATCATTCACAGCAAGTTGATCAACTTCAAACTGGTGTCCCCATGGAAAGGTAACCTTATCCTTGGTGACTGCGTTTCCAATTGGCCTCAAGTTCCCTCGGACTTTAACATGAGATACGTCCGGTGAATCATCAAAACGAATCGATGGACAAAATACTCTTGGTTGAGGGATACAAAATGCCTGAGACACGGATGCAAGCATGGATGCAACAAGACAAACTGCGGCAGGAGACGGCTTAGATGAGCTGGCCCCGGATCCTTTAGACTTCGGGGATTTCGGGCTCTTGGGGCTCTTAGAGCGGCTAGAGCTTCGGGATCCCTTCCTTTTCGGGTTCTTGGGATTTCTCTTTTTATTTTTGTTTTCACTACTGGCCGAACGGGCAGGAGTAGCTTGTCTTGGCTTTCCCACTGAACCCTCATGAAGGAATTTGCAATCAGCTCCTCTATCGCAACGTCCCTGTTTCCAAAACTTGCAAATCTTCTTACCTTTCCCCTTTGGTTTGGGAGAACCAGAACGTTCACTTGAGCGACCTCTGGTTTTGCTAGGCTTGCGACTTCTGTCACGTGGCTTGGGGACTTCATGCTTATAAGTACAGTTGTCCTTACTACAGCCTCCCTTGTTCCATGCCACACAATACCCCTTGGGAATGAAACCTGTCTTACCCTCGACTGCAGGAGCGGAGGGACGACCGGCACCCGAAAGACCTTTGGCAACTCGATCACGATTTGCCTCCAACCTCTCACGGTCAAGGTGGCGTCGCACGGCAGAAACAAGAAAACTGTAGTTCCGTTTTTCGGTTCCTTCATCAGCTCTATGATACTCATTCATGTCATGTTGGATGGCCTTACAATTCTTCACTTGTTTGTAGAAGAGTGTTTCCAATACACTTTCGTCAGGAGCCTGGACAATACCAGCCAACACTTGATCCCAGTTTGAAATGCAAGACTTCAAATTCTCCCCACGCAATTGGACACTGAACAAATCTTGAAGGGCATAGGTTGCTCCGTGCTTGATGTTTGTACTGAAGTGGTCATGCAACATGAACAACACTTGTCTCCCTCTTACAATCCGTCCAGCGGTGGCTTCAGTCTCCTTGAAGGTGTCTACCTTGCGGGCGAAGTCACCAGTGATGATATTGGTGAGTGCAGAAAGTAACTTTGCATCTAATGTCGCAAACGGCGCAACCTTCCGGAGCGCTTCAAGGGTCTGTTCTTCTTTCCAAGAATCACTATTCTTCTTTCCAAGAATCACTAATCCACTTGAAAGCACTGTCGGGATCGGTCGATGCTGCTACAACTGCTTCTCTAGTCTTGATTCTCCAATTGCGATAGGTTTCTGCCAACGGGAATGCTGGGATCTTGATGGTGTCAGCTTCCTTGACCTTGGGTTTGTCATCATGCCTTGGGTCAATGTAGCCACCTAAAAACTTGATCATTCTTCGCCTGAATTTTTCATCATCCTCATCATCGGGATCATCATCACCGTCACCATCGCCATCGGGAGGATTGGGACCAGCCTTTCCTTTTCTGGGTGCCTTACGGTTCCTATCCCCTTCAGGTTTATCAATTGGATCAGGTGGTGATGGTGGTCCACCTCCTCCATTTCCCCCGTTGTCGTCTCCTCCATCCCCGGGGTCGTCCCCATCAGGCGCGTCATCGCCCCCGGGCTCGAAGTAGTCCATCTCATCTGGGCCTATTTCGGTCGGGGCATATTGATTAGTCGGTGCTGGGGAATTGACATTGTCCATGGGATGGTTATCTCGGCGACGATTATTGGCCTCTCCTCCCGAAGGGCGTTCCTCAGCGGAAGACCTTGCAACATCCGACTCCTTCTTCACTTGAACTGGGACTCGATATGATGGGTCATGATAAATGATTTCAATACCATCCTTTTCATAAGTCTTGGCATCAGGTGAAGTAAAGTTGATCGGCGTTCTTGCAATTGGAGGTCGGGCTACATTGGTCGGAGGTGCTGCGGGTGCAGCCTTTCGGGTTGGTGGAACAAACTCGAAATTTGGGATCTGCGTTGATTCATGGGTTCCGGCTGTCATGGTCATGGCGGCAGTTTCGACAATAGGGCTTGGACGAACCTGAGCAAAGTGGGAATCGAAGCATACTTTGCAGTTTCAGATTATGTTGCATCTGGGCTTGTACCATGTGTTCAAGCTGTGTGATGCGTTCATTCTGAATCCTTCTCTCTTCCTCAGCTGCTCTCTTCAACTCAAGGATTTCTTGCTCCTTACTTGATAGTGATTGTCGATGGTTAGCATCAATAACACGTTGATAGGCTTGAATTTTCTCATTCATCTGAGCTTCACGGAACCTTACGTGTTCGTGCGCCTCATGCTGTAAATTCTCTTTATATTGAGCACTCACATTCAAAAGTTCTTGTTCTTTGATTCTGATAGCATCAAGGGCCCTCTGACTTTCAATACCCTCGCGGACTCGCAAAGCTTCCTTCAACTCCTCAGTCTTGGCCGTGTGGATCGCTTCAGCCTGAGCTTCGGTGTGAGCCAACACCTCACGATGACGGAGCTCGGCCGCTGTTTCCACAAGGCTTGTCATGGCAGGATCATGTGAATGGACATGCAAATTCTGCTCGACAAAATTCACTTGAGGATTATCCATATGCACATTGTGGTGAAATGTGTTGTGAACATTCATTTGGTTCAATTGGCGAGTCGGCGGCCCACTCTCCCGAGCGGCTTGGGGAACATATCCACGATGGTTAAAACCGGCATGAGAAGGCACAATTGCGTTACTCAGATGCGGCAAGTGGCGTCTGTCCCTCAAACTACGCGATTTGTCGGAACCAGTGGGTGTGCTTATGTCAATGGAGAATGTGGTGTCTGAAATAGGCAAGGCTCCCGGATTTGCCATGGCTGCGTCAGAGGAAACGGGAATACCGGGGCCCTCAGGGGAAGTACCTGAGGGGGCAGACATGCCTACGGAAGAGAAGTTAGCTTACGGCTGATAACCTGTTTTACAGGCTAACACGCCACAAACGAACAGCAATACGCGCTTGTTTTCTTGAGCCATAACATAACGTAGGTAAATGAATTAATACAGTATGTACAGGGGTATTCATATTAAACATATATATATATATGAATATACAGATAAAAACATATAATATATATATACATATATAGATATATAACAACATCACTACAACAACATCGCCGTATCACATATTGGTCACCGTTGGTCACCGTTGGTCACCGTTGGTCACCGTTGGTCACCGTTGGTCACCCTGGTGGTCAAGCGGCCAATGTCTCGCTCACCAAGATGTTTGGCGCTCCAACGTCCGCCATGAGCTGCGCGTTGCAGGGGCATCCGCCGTTCACCGCCAACTGGCACAGCGTGAAGAGATGTTGTTTGAGCAGCGGGACAGCAGAACAAGTGTAACAAAATGGTGAAGTGATTGAAATGTTGATGACAGCGGAGAATGATGATACAAAAATGTGGCACATTGCAGGCAGAACTTCAGAACGTTCATATCGGAATTTACCCCCAAATTCTATTTCAAGGAAACACCAGGCATGTCTGGATAAAATAGGGATAGCTGCAACTGCAAGAATTCTGGCATGAAAAACTTTAAAACGTAGCGAAGATCAAGACTAACAAAACAGCAAAAGTTGGCATCAAAATGACAGTGGGGGCCCCGTATCAAAGAACCTTCCGTCTCCTGTCCCAGAGCACAACCCAGGAACCCAGGCCTTGAATTTGGTGCTATCCATGGTCTTCCACTTATGCACATCCTGCAGATGCGAGGCACTGATTGTATTTTATTTAATAGCATCTTCAGAGTCAACATGCCAATATAGGAAGACTGAGGAGAGGCTGAGGAGAGGCTGAGGACAGGAGGATGGAAATCCGAAGCACTTGAAGCCAAGCAACGGCAATGTTATCAGCTTCCACCTGCCAGTTCTTCAGGACCTTCTGTACCTTGCGTCAAACAAACAGGTCAAAAATGTTCAAAATGATCCTGTCAAGCACAACACATCCGCTGGACATGTTTCTAGTAGCCTGCTGTGAAACCTTTCAAGGCGGTTGCCAAGTTGCAAGGGCTTCCAAGGAGCCCTCCTGATGCGCCATGGTGCGGTGCTTGAAGTAGGTCTGGTTCACCTTCGCCTCGGAAACGATAGAAATCCGTAGTATGTGGTACATGTCTGATCTAAAACAGAGAAGGTAAAAGTATGAAGTGCCTGTTGACTGCGTGTGTGTGCACATGTTTGCATATGTATCGAACCATGCTTCGGTATAATGCGTTTATTGAATATACGCTGCACATGTGCTTCGTTAAAAATACACGTACAAACATTGTTACAGTAATGTTATTGTCCATGTTGGTATGATTCTGGTTGTCAATGTTATCAATGTAGTCATACTTCTTGTCGTGTTCATTATCAGTAAACCTATCATTGTCCTTGAAATTCTCATTTATTATCTCTATCATTATTGGTTTGATTGTTATAATGTTCATTGTCCCTACCATTATCATTGTACTTATTGTCATTCTTATTGTTATCATCATGGTTGTGATTATTATTAGTCGGGATGGTGGTGGTGGTAGTAATAGCAGTAGTAATAACAAAAATAGTAATACTAGAAGAAGTCGAAGAAGTAGTAGTAGTAGTAGTAGCAGCGTTATTCGCGCTTTTGATATGTTTATCCATGGTATTATCATTGCGATGTTCATCGCTTTTGCTACTGTCGTTATCTTTTTACCATTATCATTTTCATTGGTATCATCAAATCACTATTGTCACCGTTTATATCCAAATTGGTTCGTATGTGCCTAATTATATATTATATATATATGAATATAACACATGTCTGTATGAAAATTTGTGTTCCTTCCGAACTCTTTGCAGCAATAACCAGGTTCAACTCAAACCTTTTCCAGAAGTGTCTCCTACCACGTTGAGCAAGAAGTAAGCAGGATATGCTGCAAAAGCGCAGTTGAAGGAACAGCTACATTCAAATGTGCCTCTCTTTCCCGCGTTCAATTCTTTGACGCAGGTTTATTCTGTGTTTAAATATTCGGTTTATTCTGTTTATTCTGATGTTTCTTCGCGTATTCCTCAGCCATTTTGGAGGCTCGACTTCTAGCTGAGCCAAGCGGAGCGAGCCATGCGCCAAGAGGCGTAGTCTGGCCTCCCAAATCGCCACGAAGAGCCTTGCGAAGGCTCATAGTCGCCTTAGAGCCGACAGCCAACTTTGGCCTTGCAAATTTACTAGGACTGATTTCGACTTTAGATGACTTTAGTAGATGTATATGTGTATATATAAACATATATACCTGTGTGTGTGATTCTTGCAACTTCAAGATCACAGTTCTTTATTGCAGTTTTAAAAAATGGTTGTTTGAAATGGCTCGCATAAGCTGATCCTGTGAGAATCTCTGCATCCTATTCAAGAGACATTCTCCATGTCTGACATACTGAACAAGTTGAAACCGTCAAGTACTAAGTTACCATATTCACTACGGCTCTTTTCCATCAACTTGAACCAACGGTATGACCGTAGCTCAGGTTTTGCTGAGCGGCGAATCAGCTCTCCGTGTGTGGAGCCCTGTGACCTGAGTTGAAGCACTATGAAGTAGCGAGGAACAGTGAAGCGAAGTCCTGGAACTCACAACGAACTCACAATGTAAGGTGACATTATTAATGAGTCATTAATTTTCATTTACATTAATATGTCAATTACATAATTATGTCATTATTAAATTATGATGTAAATTAATGTAACTGTAACTGCCCCGACAGTTGTTACAACCACTTCAGTTGTTACACTCTGAAGCATTCACCAAGGCTTGGGAGCTCCAGAATGCTCCAAATCCGAGCTCCAAACTCCTCAGAAAGTGGTTCTGCCATAGGCAGCCTCAGCTTGACACTTCTAATTTCCTCTGTCCGATCCATTCACTGCAGATCGTCCAGACTTGTTATTTTTTTCTTATCATGGTTTGTAACTCTGGCTTGATGAGTTGACTTTTTCTCACAATCCAGGCTTTGGTTTTGAGGAAGTAGGCGGACTCCCTTGAACGCAATCCTTTCCCGGTCCCCTCTTCTTTATGATCCTATGTGGGTGTGCCTGCTGATGGATCTCCATATTCAGTTTCAGCACTTTGCAGAACAGTTTTGCACTGCAAATAATTAAACGGATGCATCGTCGATACTCACATGGATGAGTTGCCTTTGGTCCAGTATTTTTGTCTCAACTTCTCAACAAAATAAGGAGCTGAAAAGTTGCTCAACCCTCCACCAAGCCTTCCGCAATCCGCAGAATCCATGAACTATGTCTACAAGTCTACTATTATCCATGACTCGTATATCATGAGGCGCTGAACTTATCTGTCAGATATGGCTAAGGCCGTCAAGGCACGGGAGGGCCCTACGAAGACATAGCTTCAGCTTCGCACGCTGCCATTGTGAGCCGAAAGAATAATCAGAGCAGCGGCCTACAGCCTACAGAATTCCCACAGCTCATCACTGGGTCTTTCAAGAATTCCGACAAAGTTGTAGTATATTGTAGTATCATGTAATATCCAGAACTGGGAGGTCTGTATCAATCGCTTCACTTCAGCTTGTTTTTTGGATCTAAGATTCACCGCCCTGGAAAGTCTGCAGCACTGACGCTCTAAGGTGTCCCTTTCAGCTCATCTGTTGACTCTGTTGACGCATTTCTGTCTCCGAACATCTTCTGACTCTTCAATGCACGCGTTCATTTTCATCGAAAATTGTTTCATGAGCCAAGCTGATCAAGCTGCGCTTTTGTCCCAACCTCAGGAGGAGCAAAAAAAAACCTCGGGGATCAAATGACTCCTTTTGGCTGGTGGATCTAGACTTACTTCTGTCCTGACTTTCGACGTTTCTGCACTAAACTTTAACAACATATTTTAATATGTTTAAAAGTTTAACTTTTAACTATATCTTTCAAGTTGCTGCTGAGAAACAGCAAAGCTGTCGACGATTTGGTTGATTTGAGCTGACTCTTCCTTCCAATTCTCTGAGGGCACACTGCATTCCTGGCAAAGTTGCAAGGTCACACATGGACTGGCACAACTTATAGAAACAAATTGAACTAAAATAGTGGGCCTGCCACTAAATTGAAATGATCTGCATTTTGTTTCATTCCAAAGAGGGTACGATCTGTAGCCGCTGTAGCCGGTGTTGCCTTTACATCTTCTACCACCCCAACAGCTCCCAACTGGTCGCACCACGATCCACAGCGCGTAGGGCTCTTTGCCATCGGTGGATGTCACCGTGGTGGCTACCTCCCAATGCCTCAAATGGGAACGAACTTCTGCAGTTCCATCAGTTCCATCTTCATCTTTCCCAACGTTTCCGAATCCAATACAGACTGCACAGCGTTTTGACAGCTGCACTAATTTCAGGAGCTCAAGATGGCCATTGGACTTCAAGTTTCCTTGATGCAGGTGCCCGAGAAAATGCAAAGTAAAATTGTGAGGCAAGCGAAAACGCTGCGTGGCAAACACAACCGTGCCTTGCAATTGTATCCAGCTTGTCATCGCTGCCGGGCCTAAGTCAAACAAGCTTTGAAAATCATGCAATGCGAGGCCAAGGGTACCAAGAGTGCAGTACGACTGTAAGTGATGTCAATTTAAATATTTTAAATTGGTCAACATATCTCATGAGTATTTCAAGGCCCAATGCGTTGTCGTCACAGCCACTTCATACCAAGTGTGCCAAATGCGCCGCTTTCGGCATGTTCCCAGCAACCAAACCGACGACAGTGAGCGCACCAAGCGCAGAATGGATTTCTGTGAAGCAAATTGGCATCGGCTCTTGGCTTCCGTGGTTTCCTTTGGCTTCGGGCTTCACACAAATCTTTTGACCTTCACTTTCTGTTTGCGATCCTTCACATCGTGCAACACTGAAGCCATACCTGCATTCAAGTCCAATTCGGCTTGATATGACTTAAGCATGTTGGCACACGTTTTTGCATGCAACGCCTTTGAGCAAAGAGCGCCAAGCGAGAAGAGATAAAGAGGATCAATCAAAGAGTATCGACAAGATCAAAAACAATGTTTAAAATATCAGGAAAAAAAAAGAACAGATCATAACGGATCAGAAAATATCAAGCAAGATCAAAAAAGATGGAAAGGACAAAGCGAGAGACTTCAAGTTGTTAGACCGGGAGATCTGGGAAATCTTCAAACTGCCGACACTTTGTCGTGCACCTCAGGATTCGGCCGCTGCCACGCTCCAATACCTTCGACTTCAGCAGTTTGAAGCCTTGGAGCGGAGGTGAATCCAGGCTGTAAAAGATATGTCAGAAATACAACCAAAGAATACAAAAGAGCTATATATGATATATTGAATATATTGTCTTTTATTCTAATAGTTTTCATATTGAAGTGCAAATATCTTCAACTAAGTCAATACAAACAATCAAAATATGATCAAATATGGTTGTTGAGACACATTTGAATACACATCGCAGCTGAGTTGTACATTATGTACATTGACAAAAATGTTTCTGTCTGCCAAGTCGACGCAGCTTCTCTGCAAGGAACGAAATGTCGAGGGTTTTTTGGCATAGCTTCGGCTCAAAGCTTCTGCCGCCTGGTCCTCGATGCCGGCAGGGCACCATGAGTGATGAGTGTACAGAAGCAGTGGTAAATGTCCCAGCCTTCGTCATTGCTGGCTGTGGAGATAGAAAGAAATCCAACGTGCTGGATTTACCTCAGGATGGAACAAACATGTAAAAAAATGTAAAAATGTGGAAATTCATGGCGTCCACACATGATTTTCATCTCAGTCAAGCCGACTGAACTTGGTGTAGCTACCAACAGCCACAACATGGCCACGTCTCTTCAATTTTAACATATTTCACCGGCCAGGTTGATAGAAAAGTCTCGCTGTCAAGTGGCTGCTTCCTAACGAAGCCCTCAAGACTTTGATCTCGGACCTCAAGAAGCTTCAATTGGACTGTCATCACTGCGAACACTTTGTAGTTGCATCCGAGACATCCGAAACCAATACTTCTCCGTCTATTCCGTTTCTGTTAATGTCATATGGTTACAGGATGTTACAGGACCATCTTCAAGCTGTACTCACGCTGCACCAGAAGTTTGATCTGCCTTCTCAATGACCAGCCCCGTATTTGTGTGCCAGGCTGCTTCTTAGTAGGCCCACCTGAGAACAAGAGTGATTTAGCACCACTCGCATCGCTAGGCGCCGCTTCTTTGCGGATTGTGATCCAATCCTTAGACGAGGCAACAGCAGGCAACACGTGCAATTTGGATCGAACAGCCATCGTTGGTAGAAAACACTGCATGCCATCGTCTTGTTGGAAAAATACAGATTCACTATGATTTATATACTACAGTATGTAGAAGAACATAAACGAATGTAGAAGGGTATAGAAATATTGAAGAACATGGAAGAACAGAGTACAGTAACGTCAAGTTTCTTTGGGCAAATTGATTTGCCAACCTGTCTTTGCCTGCGCGGCCATCAGCATTCATAAACAGCTCTGCTTGCTCAGCCAAGTCTGTTCTGTAACAAAATCATTGTATATTTGCAACAAATCTGTAACAATTACAAATCAGTGTATATCATTCTGCCACTTTATGTATCGTATGAGTGAATATTAGTTATTATTTTGGGACGTTTGTTAATCTTTGTTATGGGCGTTCCTGCCCCCATTCCCCTTCAATTCCCACCTCCTCAGCAAAGCGGATGAACTGCGAGAGGTCAGTGGTCTGGAGGTTCATCCGGGTTCATCCGGGTTCGTATGGCAACACGGTGTTCAACACGTAAATTTGACGTAGCAACTCGAAGGAACACGAGTTGCTCTGGGCAGTGGGAAACGTCATGGAATTTTGAATTCTCCACGCCTCTTCTGCTCGTGCTTGCTGGCTGAAAAGTAGTGACCCGACGCAGCCATCCAAAAGCCGCCTGCCTCTGGCGGTTGAGAAGCTTTCACCAAATGTGATGTCTTTGCAAATCGTGGCACATTCGTTTTCTGCTCTCCAACCAAGAGGCGTCGCAAGCACAAGTGCGGCTGTGCGAAGCCCTGCCACGTCCCAGGTGTCGGCTTTCAAGAGTCATCCAATGGAGGCCGAAGAAAGAAACTCTTCAACTCTATGTTCTTCAAATTTCTTCAATGTGTTCAACGGATTTCAACTAAATTTCAACGGGTTGTTATGATTAATGATTAATGGATATTAATGGAATAAAATTGATCATGGTCTGACTGTTTGACCATCACAAGTCGACTCCTCGCTCAAGAGCTGCAGCTTCCACAAAGACACCAGTGACACCAAAGCAGCTAAGGGCCGGCGCATGCGCCGCATGGGTTGAAGCGTGGCTTTGAATTGCAAAACGATTTCACTTCCAAAAAAACATGGAGAAAATCGAGGTTCTCGAAGGTGGAGGCCCCTTGAGGCATTGCAGCTGAGTTTCAGAAAGGTTCCCACATGTGACAATCCTCTGTCTTGCACATCCCTGACATGGGTCTGATATGATATCGTATACTTATGGTCTACTTGTAATTTGCTTTCCGCTTGTTTCCACATCATTTTGCAAAGGCATTCATCTATTGTGGCTGAGAAGCAAATATGTCATGGCATATTTGTTCCCATCTGCATGGAGAAATTGTGCTATCAAATATCAGTTGTTCATTGTCGAAGGCTTCAGCATTTGCCATGACACAGCTGGCACATCTCTCACATTAAATTGAGTGCGTCCAGTACGCTGTGGCATCTGCTTTTCTATGACCCTCATATGCTGCTCAACTGTCTCGTACGCGTTCTGCTCCAACATGTATTTCCCTTTGCAGATGCACAATGCTGGATTCGGATGGATTCGGCGTGTCACAGAAGTCTCACATTGGAAATCATTGGAACATGTTGGGACTGGAAGGTGTGGAACCTGCAGGCACCCTGCCTCCATTCCCTGCTGTGATAGTGTCAGGTTTTTTCTCCGATTGCGAGCACGGTGTGGAACAACGACGTGCATGCAAACTGACCAAGCTACCAATGTGACCGTGTGAGTGTGAGTCCTTAATTTGTTCACCTGTACCTCCCTTAGTGGATTCATGTGAATCCACACAGCGCTGCCAGCTCTGTTTGAACGCGAATCTTCAAAGACCGCTCGAACGGTGAAGCCAGGGATATGGTTTCATGAAGCATTGAACCGCTCTTCGATTCGAAGTGTGCTATGACTTCGTCAGTAGCTTTGCGAACAGCGCATGTGGCGGTTGCAAACTCGGACTTTGGCATTGTATTTATCAGGCTTGATAGGCTTGATACTGAAAGAAATAACTCGCTCATCAATTTTCACTTTTTGTTTCAAAAGCATTAATATATTAAAATGTGAATTTGGGACGTCGACGATGACCCACTTGGAGACTGGAGATCTCCCAGTGAAGCGTGGCACCCTGTCTACCACAGGATTGTCATCAGCGGATTGTAGATCTTCACAAAGGCCTCAACAGCAACTCTGCGCCACGTGCGCCACGTGCGCCACGTGCGACTGTGCGGCACAGGTGTGACACATTGCTACACATTGCTATACATCCCAGATCTTTTCCCAAACATATTGCTACGTGATGTTTCAAAATGTTTCAAAATGTTTCAAAGTTCCAACTGTGGTCTTCCAGCGCCTCGGTGGAGGCTGCCAGGGCTGGGGAGATGTCGTTGTTCTTCAGGATGACCTGGCTACCGCAACGGCAGCTACGGCAGGTGCGCAACGCTGTCAAAAGGTCAGCTGAGATCAGCTGAGTCACGGCGAGTCACGGTGAGTCACGGTGAGTCACGGTGTCAGTGCTGAGAGATGCTGAGCCAAGGTTCTCAGATGTTCTCAGATGTTCTCAGTTCACTCTCAACGACGAATGAACTGAGGCTGCAGACAAGATCGATCATGGAAGTCAATTGCTTGGGATTCCACAGGGAACGCTTGTGCTCCTGTCCCGGTCGTAGACAGCACGTGGCGCATTTATCGGAATTTATCGTACTCTCCGATGTCAGAATTTGCGTGAAAGACTTGGCCCACTTTCGGCGAAGTCCTTCTGAAAACGTTCGGTGAGAGCGTGGAGCCCTTGCCTTGAGAGAAGTGGTGTTCGCTCAGTTTGCTGGTCTTGATTCCACGACAACTGACTGCTCTTTCCAAATCAATGTTGCATAATGTTGCATACATCACATGTATTGCACGTATTGCATGTCAAATCATGTCAACCTGTTCGAGTCCAAGCTGCTCTCCGATCTGGTTTCCCTCCAAGTCCAGGGTCTGCAGCTTGACCATCCTTAGCTCTTATCATTCTTATCGCTCTATGCACTCCTGTCATACATCCAATCTTAGTCTAAGGAATCTAAGGCCGAAAAAATGTGGCATCAGAACCATCCGCTGTGTTCTGTGTTCGCATTCCATATCTGGGTCGCTGTGGTAGGCTCAATCAAGCCATACTGAGAGCGATGCTGGTTGGCGCTCATAACAGCTTGCAAACCTTCCAAAGTTTGAGTTTCACTGCAACTGCACATCCTTTATCCTTTCATATTCTTATATTTTTCACATGTTTCATTTCAGGCGTTTTGCTTGAACTTTAGGCCCTTTAGGCATCTGGTAAACTGCAAAGAACTGCAGTGGGTTTGTGATCGAGTGCCTGCCGAGGTGATTCCGTTGTCACGGAGGCCTGGGGCAGTGCGAGTCGTGACAGCCACGACAGCCCTGACGTCTCTCCGAGAGTCTCGTCTCATCTCCGTCTCTCGTTGTTTCACGTCTCTTCACATCGCTTCATTGAAGGGTTCAAGGCATATCTGTTCTAGTTCCGCCTAGGAAGCGCAGAGAACCCATGATGGGGACCTTACAAGCACCATTTTGGCACAGCAAGTTCTGGCAGAACAGCGAAAGGTTCAAGCAGAGAGGCTGAATGATTTGATTTGGATGAATAATTGTCCATGAACTCCAGCCTGTGTTGCTGAGGTCGCACCCAAATTTGATGACTGTGTGAAAGTGCCCAAAGTCTTCCCCTGTCTTAGCACCCTGCCAACAGTTGAAAGCCTTCGTCACCCAGAGAACAGCCAGATAGCTCAAGGAAGGACAAGGAGAAAGACTCCTCGTGTTTTGACTTCCCTCGACAATGGCCGCCACTAAAAACGTCTTGCATTGTGTCCAAATTCACTTGTGGTTGGAACTCTAGGCCACTATCATGTTTACAGCATTGATCTTGTTTGCTGTAAATCATTTCGCACGGGGCAGACTTTTCACACCCTCTACAGTCAGGACACAGCTGCCGGCAACAGGACATGGACACATAATTTGCTGAAGAAACCGGTCAAGAAATCGTTTGCAAGACCTAAAGGCCTGAAAAAGATTTATAAAAGGTATATAGTTAGTATAGCCGGTATAGCATTGTCGTACGATTCCTCTTTCCCAAGTCACAAGCTTCTGTGGCCCCAATGATGGATGCACATGAAATATCATGAAATGAAGCTGTGGTCCTTGTCGTTCTGATCCATCCACTTCACCATATCAAGGCCTTCCAAAACGTGACCCGGAAGCTACCACATCTACCACCAATTACATGAATATCGCCCAAAATTGACTCAGGCATAGTCAATCGCATAATTCCTTGTCGCCAGATGTCGCCAGTGTCTTGCCATTGGAAAACAAAACCAGGGCTCCGAAATGCTTCGAAAATGCTTCGAAAATCTTCAAAATACTCCACATATCTTCGATTTCGCCAGGGGGCATCCTTTTGGACCGAGGCTGTTGTAGGACAAATCCAGGCCTTGGAGACGAGACTTGGAGACAGCCCAGAATGGACGAGAGTGGATGAGAGTTGAGGTTCAGTGATGGATAACCCACACCCAGACCCTTTTAAGGGGAGCATAGTGAGCAGTAACTTGGCCTCCCGCCTCGGCAACAAACTCGCCAAAGCTTAGTGTAACAATTTGTGATAGTGTTTAATGAATGTCCAATCATACGTAAAATACGTTATACTTATATATACTTATACACTTCATACTGTAATTCGATCTACAGTAGATGTCCTCATCTCCTGTCTCTGAGTCAGGAGCCTTAGCAGCTTTAGCAACTGTGCTAGGTGTAGTATGATTGTGGCATGTCCCCCGGAAGAAGATCTGCCAGTCCACCTTTTGGTCCACCATTGTTTCATGCCTTCCTCCTGTCTTTTCCACAAGAATAACGAATGTCACTATCTTTGAGCTCCCATGCGCTGAAGGTTGGGAGACAAGGACACAAGACTCAGCAGAATTGCCTCGCAAGCAAATTAACCAATTCAATCGGGTGGAAACTTCTGAGGATCACAAATACAAACAAAAACGGTCGCATGAGGCACGCTACAAAATCGAGCACTTCTAGGCAACTTGTGGGCAACTTGGCAACTTTTGCCATGAAACTGGTGACCATGATGACCCTAAAAGGATGACATGCTCATCCTGGCTAAATCTGAGAGATTCCACCTGTCCTCAAAGCCAAGCATATCATTTGTGAATCGCAAATGGCTGACCCAGCCACATGGCCCCCACCTGCGCTCCACTCGTTAGACCACAATGAGAAAGTCGCAAATTCTTCAATCCAATGCTGAGACCTTAGCTGTTTCAGACTTTATTACATGTTACACAAGTTCATCGACTTTTATGGTTTGTTGGTCATGCGGTCATGCCTATCGTTCTGCTGTGGCTCATAGAAAGTTCTATGTTTGACAACTGCACCAGATCCCCTCGAACTACTGAAGCATTCTGGTGCTTCAGTACTAAAGCAGAATTGTAGCAGCTACTCCTTGGACGGTAAAGCACCTGTAAAGCAACCGTAAAGCAACTTGAATCATTGACCGAGTGGAAAGCTCTCTGCAATGATGGCCAACCCTTCCTTGGCAAGTACAAAGCTGGGAAGGCAGAAAAGATCAGAAAAGATCATCAAATTTCAACAAACTGGAGCAAATCAGGAACAAACCTGCACACGGATGGACCTTGGTTCTCCAAGCTTCGTCGTGGATGGGATTCTTGTTCAAGGTCAGCTCTTGCAAATCCTTTCACAAGCTGCTTGAAAATCTCCACATGCACCGGTACAACTTATTTGTTTTCATTTTTGAAGAACGATTTCTTTCTTTCCAAAGTCCAGGCTTTTTTATTGGCTTCATTCAAATCCATGCAATACGAACCAGGGTCCTGCGTCTCTGCAGCTCCTTGGTCCAAGAAATCATCCATAGAGTCCGCTGTTAGGCCCATCTCCTTTCCAAAAGCACTCCAAAGCATTCAACAAGACAAGTGGTGCTGCAGTAGCTGCCAGGCAACAAGGTACCAATCTGTTCAGATTCGTTGGGAAGGGTGACTCGCTGAAACTCAGAACTTTTGCCGAAAAAAAATGAGATGTATGACCGACTTATGACTGACTGACCTACTGTACCTGACCCGCTAAAGCCGCTTTCACATCATTTCGCATCCCTGACTTCCCGGAGGTCTCCTCCAGCTGCAGTGTCAACACGCGACTGTGCTCAATGGCGCTGCCTTCACCAGAGTCGAAGGAGGTCACAGGTCACCAACAGGTCACTCTCTCAGTGTCTCCCAGAGTCTCCCAACCTTTTCTGCATCTTGACATATCTTGACATATCTTGACATGTCTGGACTCTTGTGACATGGCTTGACCCTGGCCTATGTGCGAAGGTCCCAAGTGGTCAAAACAGTTCCCGGAGAGGACGAGCTTCAGAAGGCTATGGCAACTCCTAGTGCGAAAGAACCGCTGCCATTGCTGTCATCGGTGTCTACACTTCCACGATGCTTCGATATGTTTTGACTCACGTTTGGCTCGTGCAAGACCCATCAAACTGTTCATTTGGTCTCCTTTCAATTCCAAGTTGGAAAGAATCAGCAATTCCACTTAAGACCGAAACCAGGCCCACCTCATCATGTCTCCGATGGACTGAGATGCATCGTCACTGACGATGCCGTTGTGTGCCTCCCAAATCTTCACTTCAAATGCTTTACGGAAACGACGAAAATGGGCAAATCGCATCCTGCTCTTGGCCTGTTTGGCTGTCTATTCGTTGATTATCTTCATGTCTGTGAGTTGGCCATCTGTCGATTCATTTCACAAGAGTGTACAACGCTGACACCGAACACGTCATGGCCTTACCTACAGTAGATCTACTGACTGTGTAGGTATAGAATGGTATTATATGGTATAGAGATGGTATAGAGATGTATAGAGTATAGATTCCATATGATTTCCATATGATGTCCATACGATGCGATCTCTGGCTCTCCGCTCGCCAGATTCACGGACTTCAGCGAGGACTCGGCCACACCGCTGCAGAACTCAATGGCGCCATCGTCCGAGAGCCTTGGACTCATTGGATCTGGATTGGACCTGGATTGGATCAAGATATATCAAGATCAAGTGATCAAGTTAGATATCCAGGTGAATCAGATCAAATTGAATCGAGTTGAATCAAATTGATTCTGTGTTGATGCTGATGTTGGATCGAAACATCTCATTGTCCATGTCTACTGTGTCGGTGCATGTGACAACACGATCATCCATAGAAAGATGTGAACAGGCATTCTGTACACATGTTTCAGGTGGACAGGAAGAGAACTCGGAAGCATTTGTTCAAATGTTTCACTTGGAAGTTTCAAAATGCGCTTTGCGATGAGATTTGGTGAAGATCGATGAATGAAATCAGGATGTTCAGATATGTTCAGTATGTTTGCTCCGCTGTGGCTCTGCTTTGCTCCGCTCTCCCTGTGAGCACGGCTGGTTGCTTGCCACGGAGATCTCTTGCAGCTTCAAGTGGTGCCTCCCAAACTGAGAGAAACTGAGAGAAACTGTGCAAATGATGCTGCAGGGCCTCTTGCGCAAAGAGAAAAAGTAACGAAACCCCGCAGTTGCTAAAGCATCTATATTTACATATATCATATAATAGATATAGATATAGATAAAGGTATAGCTACAGCTATAGGTTTAGATATAGATATAGATACAGTACAGATATCATAGACATATATATATAGAGAGAGATTAGATAGATATAGATATAGATATAGATATAGATATAGACATAGATATAGATATAGATATAGACATAGATATAGATATAGACATAGATATAGATATAGATATGCAGTCACATGTATATACACATACACAATCATGTATATGTACATGTATGTACACATATTCATAAAATCATATATGCAACATGTACATATGCATATAACTCATATATAGATATGGACCTGTAATCACGGTTATGTGTGAAAATCAAGTGGTGCCAAGATCCTACTCCTGATGCTTTTCCAGATCTACTCTTGACTCGACAGCCCAAGGGATTTCTTTCTACAGCAGTCCTGAGAAGCTCCCTGAGGGCTTTGGCTCCCTCCTGACAGCTGGCAGAGAAATTACCACAGCCTGATCAGAGAAACTTCACAGTTTAGCATCGTTTTGCATTCTTCAAACATGTGAAGGAATGAATGCGGCACGAATCTTGCGAGACCACAAGCATCCGCTCCAGTTTAATTCCGCAGCCCTCCAACTCCAACACACGAAGGCGTGTACACCTCGAGCAGCTTTTCGTGGTTCGCAGCGGAACAGAATACGACCGAATCCTTTGGAGATGAAGTGGCAACGTTTTTCGACGTTTTGAACGTTTTGGACGACCTGGGCGCTGCACTTTGACAGCTCTTCGCAGAGGTTGGCTACTCCCTCGCAGCCGAAGGAATTTTGATTCAGGATCAAGGTGTCTAGCCTGGCAACAGCTTTGCCGCTTTGCCGTTTTGCCCAGAAATGCAAAGTATTGAAATTCCAAAAATGCCTTTCCGTAGTGAAAGGACTTTCGTTTGTGTCTACACTTTGCTGTGCTTTGCTTTTATGCTTTTAAAATCTTTTAAAATGGTTTTTCTGTGCTTTTCTGTGCTTTGCTGTGCTTTGCTTTTGCTAAGTCTGTTTCCAAATTAGGCGACATCCTGACCGATCCAGCATCTTGCACCTCGTTTGCTCCAGCCCTTCCAAGCAGGCGCACCCTGCCGCTGTGAGGCCTTGAAAGCTACACGAGATCTGAGAAGTCTCTTGAACTCCAGACATCTCACAGTGGTCTCAAAGTGGCGCAGGTTCTTCTAGATTCTCACAGATTCCCTTATTTACATGAACAAACCTCTCCTTCAAAACATCTTACTCACATTTGCAGTTTGAGTTGCTATTCACGAGACTCTGTATTTGCCTACCACAAGTTGAAGCTTAAGCACTCCTGGGAACAAGTCTTCAGAATACATCTTTTTCATAGTTGGCTGAAGAATGCAGCAGATAAAGTCGATTAATTAAGTGGTGTTAAGGTGAGATGTTATGCCGACCCCTCCACGGGGTATTCAAAGAAACAACATGGCTATCGCATGCAAGCGATCTTTTGGACGGAGGTTGCGCAGGCCAGTCAGCTCAAGGCCTATTTGAGAAAACACGGCCACCGGATGAATCAGAGGTCAACACAACACTGCTGAATGTGCTATCAGCCCCCTGAAAATCTTTTGGGTTGACTTTGGTTTTCATCCGATGCTCGTGCTGTCTCCCTTCAGCTAAAGCTTGTTCTTCAGCTTGGATTTTCAGCCTTGAAGTTCTAAGCAAATCCATCATGGGTTTCTCGTGGGCACCGGCTACCTTGGTCAAGGCATCTGAAGGATTGAAATTGTGTGGCACCCATCGGACTCGCCCTCGGCATCGGGCAATTGAATCTTGGATGATTGCCACTTCCAGTGCAGACCGGTCACAATCTCCTGAGGACTGTTCCGTTGCAGCTGCGTCAAAGAGGGACTTGGCGTCAATGATTGCTACGCTCAGTGGATCTGTGAATCCAGGATCGTCCGAAGCAATGACTGTTGGGGCGCCGCGACGTCCACGATGGTCATCTGATTCGGCTTGTTGACGTGGGTCAAATCGCGATAGCCTGAAACTGTTCCACATAGCAATTTGGCGCTCAAGTGCGCCTAAAGCGGTCGACAACGATATGCTTTCACAAAGCATGGTGTTGCCAGCTTTCCTTCTCAGCCTTCTTGATTTCCATGCCAGCAGTGAAATGGGAGCTTCCGATCCTTGGTTGAGGCGAGAATCAGTGATTCCTTGAAGCCATCCGTGTTGTGGTTTCGACCGTCCCGTGGGGTCAAAGGATGAGTCGGCAATCACAAAGTGCCTCACCTCTTCTTCAGCTATGCTGTGGATCCGCAAGGTCACTCGATGCGACTTGATCCTCTGAACTGCTTTGTTCGCATCCAAAACGTCTTGAACTGTTGGTTGTGGAAAACTTCCAGCCAAAATGGACGCTGCAGCTGCCGCATCAGGTCTACCTTCACGTGCCACCCAATTCAAACTTGCTATGGTGCCACGAAGTTGTGCTTCTTCCTCGGCATTGAGGATGGTTTGCTTGGCATCCTTCATCAGTGTCTTTCTCGTCAAAGTCACTGGTCGCAACCTGTTTTCAACATAGTCATCCATGCTGTAGGAAAAAGAATAGTCTTCCAGCTGCTTGATCCTCCTGCCAGCGTAGGCAGTTCCCGAAGCTTCTGCTCGAAGTTCAACGGCCTTCCCAAAACGGAGTCGTTCTTGAAGAGCCTTCATCTTTCGTTGATGGACTTCACCACCACTCTCCAAAACGTCATCGACCTCAATCAAGAGAATGCCTTCTGTTGGAGCATCGGCACTTCGGTCTTCGCTGTCGAGGGTGAGGACACAGCGGTCATATGGATTGATTCTGTAACCCAAATCCAAAAGAACTTCCAAAAACGACTTCCTCCACCATGCTGGTCCTGAGACCAAACCATAAACCTCAGTCTCGAGCATCACCAATTGTTCTGGAGTGCAATTTGGAAAAACCCAGTCACTTGGCATGGTGCAACAAAGCTTGCGCTTTCTTGTTGTTGGAAGTGATTGGAGAAACGCTGTCTTTGCGTCTTTGACGCGCCCTGCCCATCGACGAGTCGATGAGAGCTGGAAGAAAAGACATATGCTGATCGAGAGCGGCGTCGGGGCGCTCCTTTCTATGCTGTGAACCAACGGGTCACGCCATCCTACGACGCACCACCTCGACTTGGCAGATACGCCACTGTTGTTGGCTGTTGGCTCAAAGTCGGGAGACCCATAGGACTGTGGAAGGGTGGAAAATTTGTCACCATCTGGTTTCCACCGGTCCACATACCGGCTCTGCAGCACATAGTCTGGAAACTCCTTTCTAAAAGCTCTGCTTTCTTCCACGCTCAAAATTCTGATGGCTTTGTTGTCGAGCAACGACTGCACTTCCTTGATGCGGGCTTTCTCAAACACTTCACGATGTTTCTTGCTCAAGGATTTGAAATCCACCTGGCCAGGAGAAGTCTTTGCTTTTGTCATGTAAATGCAAAGGTCTGCTTGACTAAAAATGCCTACAGCCTCCTCCGTTCGAAATCCATCGTTGGAGAGAGCTGAAAGGCTGCTTCTGCCTGTCCTCTTGTCATGCCACCAAACTGCACCATCAGGTCCATTGGTCCAATTGAGGTGTCTGGACCGAGTTCCATCGAAGTCTGCAACTTCCAAATAGAAGGAACCTGGTTCGGCTGGTTCCGAAGGTCTTGGAGGCAATGGCAAAGGAGGTGGATTGCCAACAAAAGGATATGGTTGAACCCTGGCACCCACACTTCCACGACCTCTCATTGGGGCACGAAGTTCACCTCCGGGACCCTCATCAACTGTGATGCTGTTTCGTCTGGTGTCCACACTGGCTCTTCGACTGTCCACTGCTGATGGTGGCACACTCGGCATGGCGTCTGCTGGAGCAACGGATGGTGCTCGTGTGCTATCATCTGCAGGGTCCATCACATCATCTGGGATTTCATCTTGGTCCAAAGCCATGTCTCTTGGCGTGGAAATTGGAGTCGTTGGCGCCATGCTGATCTCATCATCGTCATCTGGAGGAATCTGAGGAACTTGAGGTGGTTCTTCAGGAATGGATGGCAAAGGTTTGGGGCCATCTTCATCCAGAGGTTCAGTTGAAATCTGCAGCTCCTTCTCCTGATCCGGAGTTGGTTCCTTGGTGAGATCGTGGAACTGTCGGATCTTGCCGTCTTTGATGTCCTTCAACATCTCTGCAGACAACTCTTTGATGAGTTCAGCGCCAAGGTGTTCTTCTGCGGTTGCTGATCGCAGGTGCTCTCTGGAAACTTTTAGAAGATGTCCTCGAAGCGATACCCACATTGACTTCTCGTTTGGCGATATGGCCAGCAGAACACCAGGGCCAGACCAACCCGTAAATCCAGGGATTGATCTCCACACGAAGACCCATTCGCCAACTGACAGAGGCTTCAAGTCGGCACTGCGAGTGGCAGCTTTCACAGATCTTCGCACTGACTCGATGTCCTGTTGCTTGACCCAAGCCATAGCTGCTGCTTCTCGAATCCTCCAGCTCCGTTGCATGTCTTCAGAAGCTGATACTTGAAGTAGTTCTGGATTGAGGATATCATCAGACAGCAGGCTGCCGGGAAGTCGTGGGTTCACCCCAAAGGCACGTTGGTATGGGGAATATCCCGACCTACTGAAGGCCCTGTTTCTGGAAATGCAGGTCTCTTTCAGGCACAAGTCCAAGTCCTGTGGAGTCATTGCGGAGACCTCGTCCAAAACCATGTGGAGCTTCTGCTTGTAGATGCCTCCAGCCTTCTCAGTACGGGAGTTTTGCCATGGACTGTTGGTGTCCGTGAAGTGTATCATGACACCTTGCTCCATCACTCGTTGGGAAAACTCTTCTCCAAAGAACTCTCGCCCTTGGTCACAAATCAAAATTGCAGGCGGTCCAAAAGGCATGAACCAACTTTTGAGGATGGCCTGGTGAGTCTCATGGGCATCCACATTCTGCAATCTCTCAATGATCTGTAGTCCAGTTCCCCAACAAAGCATGTTGAGCAGAGGGTATGAATTTCCCTTCCAATCAAAGTAGCAAACGTCAACTCCGACAACCTCGTTGAAGGCCATGCAGCGAACCAAATGACCAGGTCGCGGCAAAGATGGTTTTCTTGAAGACTCACAGATGGGGCATCGGAATTCACTGCGAACCCACTCAATCACCTCGGGCTTGGCTTGAGCATGCCGTAGGGCTCGGAGAAAAGTCCATTGGTCTGGATGACCCAAGTTCCTGTGAAGTCTGAAGATTTCTCGGCGCAAATCTGCCGATACTTCCAACTTCCCATCTTTTCTGGTTTTGGCCTTCATAGCCTCGGCAAGCTGTTGAACTTCTGGGCTTTCGGCTATGGGTCGAAGCTGGTTGCTCACATTTTTCATCACAGGCTCCTCCACATCGTCGTCAAGTGCCGGAAGTGGCTGGCGACGCAAAGTGGAAACACGACCACTCCCACCTCCCAAAATTCTGTTTGATGGAAAATGGGTTGTTGAAGAGGAAGCCATTGAAGTAGCAAAAACTTGAAACTCTTCTTGAAAAGCACTTTCTGCCAAAACATATGATGCCAAAGGTTGCACCCAAGCTCGCAACTCACTGTCCACCGCATGAAAAAGTGGTTGAGGAAGTGGCTCAACTGCTGCATGTCCTTCAGATTGTGTGAAAACCACACCATGAAATTGCAAATGGTGCCGCAATCCACGTAAAATGGCTCTCACAAAAGGTTTGGTGTACTGAGCTGCTGCAGCGGCACGACCACCAAGCAAAGGTTGATGATGGTGATCTCCAGAACAACGCTTGTGCAGCATTTTCACCAAAGGATAGCAGTTGGTCACAATCATCGTTGGTTTGCGGGCAAGCTCACCTTCTTTGGTGCGAAGTTGAAAAGCACACATGTCAATGGTGATCTCATAGACCGTTCGTCTGGCCCGCAACCGTCGAGCTCTGGGGTGTTCCCATGACTTGGCACCTCTGGGCTGTTCCAGCAAAAAGGCTCTGTTGGCATCATCTTGTTCTTCTGCAAGTTGAAGTGAGTACTCCCAATGCAGAAGACCTTCTTCTTCTTCGTCCAAAACAACGTCATAGTCACGCTTGAAGTTGGACAAATTCCTGAGGGGACTGAATGTCGTGCAT